ATCTCATTCACCGTTCCCCAGTTTTTCGTCAAACAACTTTTTTCTGTCTTAGAAAAATCAGTTCTACAACATATCAAAAATTTTTTTTCCTCCGGAGCCTGACTTTAAAGTAAGAAATCATGCCAAAGGAAGTGGCCATACAACCAGAAAACAAAATTGCATTTCTACTACTGCATTACATCTTGTGAGTGGATGCAAGTCTTGATAGTGAATTAACTTTGTAACTTGTAAGTAGTAGAACACTGATATTTTCTTATTTTTTTTTTTTTTTTTTTTTTTTTTTTTTTTTTTTTTTTTTTTTTTTTTTTTTTTTTTTTTTTTTTTTTTTTTTTTTTTTTTTTTTTTTTTTTTTTTTTTGTAAAAACTGATTTACTTACATCTCAGGATTACAGGTACATTTCTTTTTTGCTCATTGTTTTGTTGAAGATTAATTATAATATTGTTGTATTATTTAGTGCTCACAAAGTTGGATGGATGATGAAGAATATATAGTAAAAGGATTTAAATCCCAGCCAGGAATCGACAGATTGACCACTGGTATCTGGATTTGGAGTAAAGTGTTTATCATAGGACCTGTGGATAGAGAGGTTGGTGCCATTAAAAACATACTGCTCTGATGCTTATCTGCATATCATTAATATTTCTGCTAGTTAAAAATACACACAAATAATTCTTAATGCAATTTAGAAATTATGTTTGGCACCACAAGACTCATTTCATGACAACACCTCACAAGTTTGATTCTTAACTGACTGGTAAGCATAAAAAATATGGTTTGATCTGTGTCTTCCTGAAAGATATTTTTTATAATCTAAAAAAAACACATTAAAGCTAATACATTGTGGTGGGTAAGCATGTACTTCAAAGTATATTTATTCCTTGTTATAATTTTATTTTTATTTTTTGAAATTGTCATTATTTTCAGTTCGGGGTTGTGTTGATGGATATTCAAGGATCACAGGATCCGTACTCTTCCACGAAGGAAAATACTGCAATTGTTGCACTTAGCGCATTACTGAGCTCTGTACAGGTACAAATGCCTATTTCTAAATATTGATCAACATTATACCATCCTTGGCTTTACATAGTGTATAGCCATGTTTATACAGCCATTTGCTATCAGATTAGTAACACCATTGATCTCCAGTTGAGCATCTATACGATACAAATTCATTGGTTGTACAAGGAAGTCACATGATTAAAACTGACCTAAACAAAAATATGCGCATTGCGGCTTGTCTTAGAACCCCTAATCATAAAAGATTTAAAATGTATGTAATTGATAAAAACATAATTTTTAGCTACTATTCTGCAAATATTAAATTGTATTTATGCTGTTTATCAACATCGATTTCCGTGATGGCTCTCACAGGTCAAACAACAGCTAATTTGCATAAAGATCATGCTGATGATCTGTTAACACCGCTGCGATGTGTGGAGGTAACTCTTTAAATTATTGTGGTTACTGATCTGTTATAAAGAGATTTAAAAACAAGTTCTTGATGGATCTATTGATCAAGACAAAATGTTGACCACATTTATAGAAAAGGTAAAAAGTAGCAAAATTTAAAAAGGAGAAATATAATAATTATAATAATATTTTTATTTTTTATTTTTATTTTATTTGACTTTTCACTGGCATCAGTACAAAAATACATATGTGTATAAATAGAAAAAATTCCAGTGAGAGAGCGTATCAACAGGTGCATGCACCTCTAACACGACACGCTCTCCAAATGCACAAAACACAACGGCAAATACATAAATATATAAATTGAAAAGAAAAAAGTTACACAGTTCTACATAAATGACAAAAGCATTTTGTGACCCAAGTGCATGTATTGGCAGGGTCAGACAAACAGAAGCTCATAGAATGTACATAAGGCTCGCTTAACACCAGATATTGTGGAGTTTGAATGTATGGGGTGAGGGAGTTGGTTCCACATGGGAAAAAAATTCGATTGAAGTAGAATTTTCTGTAAGTTTCAGTTTTTCAATGTTTGGCAGCGAGTTTTGAGATGGTCAGCATTACGAAGCGAACGTGAAGAAACGAGAGTTTCATTAAAAACGAAAAAATTATATGAAGGATAAAAAAAGTAATACCAATCATAAATAATCCTGTTGGATTAATTAAGGTCTTTCAGGGATAAAGACAAAATCAAAGGTCAAAATTATCAAAGTAAACTTTTAAAAAGATGTATAAATTAATATGGTTAAAGTTAGGTACACTACTTTATACATAATAAAAATATGAGAAGTGTTTTGTTGCAGATTTATAATGTGAAATCTGATATTAATGAAGCCGATCTGCAGTTTCTTCAGCTATTTGTGAAGTTTGGAGCTGCAATTAAGGGAAATAATGAGAAACCTTTCCAGGTTAGAAGAATTTTTTTTCAAATTATTTGACTCTCAAAGACAAGCCTACACTTTGTAAATATGCCAATTCAATTTTAAAAAATAGTACCACCGTATAATGGCTGCTTTGTCCCTTATACTATTTATCTCTCATGTGAGTGTTATTCGAGGAGCTGAGCAAACAGACATCAATTTCAAACTAATGCTATAGGTTTGTACTTGAGTCTGGATTGGGGCACAAGAAGCAGGAAAAAGTAAACTGTCTTAATCAGTGAAAACGTGTAAAAATAAGTTGATTTTGGCACCATTGGCATTCCATATTACTTACATGGCATTCCATACTTTAATTTTTACCCCTTCCAAATTCAATATAACAAGTTTCTCGACATAAAAAGACACTGGTGGCACTCTCTAAAATTATCTAATATCTAGGAAAAAAATAAATAAATCAGAGACTTATGGCAAGTCTGTCAGTTTATGTGTCACTTTATTATGTACAATGTATTGAGGTTGGTGGTCTAGAGAGCCTGTGCGCATTCACTATCATTCTCAGACCAGTAGATTCAAATCATTCTTATGAACCAATGAAAATTGAGAATTATATGATCCTACCTATTATTGTTCATCTTAGCCAAATAATATTTCTAACATTTTTTCAGACATTGTTATTTCTTATTCGTGATTGGAAGAATCCTCGTGAAAGTAGCTTTGGCATAGATGGAGGGTTGCAGCACCTTAAAAAAGTCATGGTTAGTTGATAACTGCTGGCTTTCACTGGTGATATTGAATCCCAGCATCTACTTCCATCTTTTACTTTATTATATTATTATTATATTATATCTGGAGATTGACACAAGTGTGTGCTCTTATCCATTTAATTAGGTAACTGGTAGGATAGTACCAGTGGTGGCTTCAGAAATTAGTCCAACATGTACAACAGTGGGGTCTGAACCTTGAGCCTCGTTAGACCGATGGGGTGGGTGAAAATGCCTTTTCCCCATAGATGCCACCACTGGATAATACCGTAGTTCAATACTGGTACATGAAATTGGATGTAAATATGATTCTTCTTTTGCTTTTCAAAATGTAATTAACTCAGTTCATTGTAAATGCTATATATTATTATATTACATAGCCTATGTAAATACGATTATGTGATTGGTCGAAATGGCATCACGTGACTAGTGCTACGAGGATCGAAAACGTTATATTTCCCCGTAGGAAAAGATAACTTTGAAAAGTGACCGGTCTCTAACGTCACCAGTTCCCCCTCCCAAATGAGATTTTTTTTAAAGAATATCAACCTCTGGATGGCCGAAAATGGCACTCTTAGACTGTAACAGACGTGTTGGCTTGGTGTGGGCCTATTTTTATATGTTTTATGGTCTGACTGCCCGACGAGCTCTGTCCGGCAGGGGGGGTGGGGGCTTGACCTGTCCAGTGGGGGCTTAATCCCCCTGCCCCCTGCTAGTGCCACCACTGCTCAGCGCTACGCGCTTCGGGAAAATATAATCCCTCGAAAAAAATATAATTCCCTCGTTGATATCAAATGTTATATTACACCTCTAAGCAGGCAATATCTGTATAATAAAAACCTGTGACATACCTAAATATGACCATATATAGGTGCATCATGACCATATTTAGGCACATCATGACCATATATAGGTGCATCATGACTATATATGGGCATACAGCAGTTTTTTAGTCAAGGATAGTGTGGACAGAACTTTATGATTTAATGCAGCATAGACCACATTATTGTAGTTTTTGTTTTCTTTTAAACTTGATAGACAGTATCTCCAAAACAGAGCCAAGAAAACCAACACTTAAGGAAGTCGATTAGTGAGATGTTTGCTAATATAATGTGTTTTCTTATGCCTCGCCCAGGAGATGAAGTTTGTGAGGGTGAGAGCAATAGTCAAATTAGAGGTTAGTATTTGTTATAAATTACGTAACAGCAGGATGGATAATTTTATGTTGAAAATGGGCATAACATTTTTAAAAATGTATTTAGAGGGAGTAATTTTGTTCTGTATTATCAGCATCTACTCATTGAAACGCAAGAAATAGGACTACTGTAATTTTTAATGTAAAGGAATAATTTAATTTTCAATAATTTATTATCTAAGTTATTTATTAAAATAAATATTATTTATTATATTAAAATATTAGAATCTATGTATTGTGCACATAGTAGATAGAATGTAGTAGGAAAAAAGGTCAGATTTATGGTTGAATATAGCATAGTAGGTTTAAGAAATAGGAAAATATAGGTTAATAGTGAAGGTGTAGCTTTTGAATGGGAGAAAAATGCCTGAGGTCACAGTCTGCACCTGAATCCTATGTCCAGCACTAAAGCCTACAATACATCATAAGTGAATTTTCTACACGATTAAAATCGCAACGGTACTGAGTTTGGTCTACAGGAGCTCATTCTTTGTACAGGTTATTGCATTCATAGAAGAAGCCTTTAATGGTTGAATGGACTGTACAAATGGAAGGATGGATGGACAAATTGAATGAATGAATGAATAAATAAATAGATAATATGTTTTTTTTTTATATTTAATAATTATAGTATCTAATTACTTTAAATCTACTATTATATATACTTAATGTATACTTTATATATATATATATACTATTATATATACTTTATAATTGATTTGATCAATCATTTTCAGACATTGCTCAGAGATTTCAAGTGCAGATAAAAGATCTGGCAAATTTTATCTTTTCATCCGAATTAACTGAAGCTAAAAAGATTGATGGCAAAAGCATTACATGCGGAAGCTTAGTCGATTATTTTAAGGTATTATTGAAATAATATAGCATTACAGTTTAACTGCTTTCACCGAAATTTACACTTTAATTATCTAATGATTGTTCATTTTATGTTTCAGGATTATGTGAAGATTATTAATGAAGAAGGGAAAAAGGTTGAAAGTACATCAATAAATGAGGTAAATACTTCCATGGAAGAATATTTTTTTATTATGAAATTAATGTAAGGACCTCTTACAGGTAGAGGGCCAGTACTTCATATTTTTGCAGTACTTATTTTTTTTTTCTTTTTGTTGGCTATACCACATTTTAATGGCTTGAAGTGACATTAAAGAATTTAATTTTCTTTGTCTTAGCTCAGACGGCGAGCAGCTTAGCCCATGTAGGTCCCCGGTTCAATTCCCATCGCTGCGTCTCCTTGTGTTTCAGCTAGAGGGCTAAAATACAAGTTACAATAACGCACCGTCTTTCGGATGAGATGATTAAGCCGTTGGTTCTGTGTGCATTATGAACGTTAAAGAACGCAGTAGACTCTTCGGAAAAGAGTAGAAGATTGTCTCCCGGTGTACTGCCTAATTATCACCAGAAGGACCCCACTGGAAATAAGTCTTCTTCTAGACTTTTGTGGGATATCCTTGGTGTTTACACCAAATAAATCCAATCTAATCCTAAATCCAATTTATTATTTGAAGGCATTGTTCATGTTTGATAAGGACTATGTCCTACAGTATTACTTTACAGACCTTCGCATATTCCATAAATATTTTGTTTTTAATTATTTTCTCTCTGTATTTGTCCAGGAGAGCAAATATCATATTAATACAGTACAACCCCTATTAAGGGCAAATAGAAAAATTTATTAGATTATCACTCCCGTTAAAAATTCGGGAAATACTGATGCGGAAATAAAAAAAAAATTTTGCTGCATCAATTGTTTCAACAGCATAAAAATAACAATACATTTTCTTTAAAAAACTATAAAATTAAACCAGTTTTTATACAATATTTACTATTACAGACCAAATATAAACAGTCCCTCTCTCATCGATAAAAACTAAAGTAAAATAATCTATTGTTCCGATTTTTAAAAAAAAAAACGCCCTCCCTCATCAATTTTTTTTTTAAAAAGAGTGGTAATCTAATAATTTTTTCTATGTGCCCTAAGGGGAATCTTTCGGTAAATTAACTGAGAATCCAAAATTGTCCCATTAATAGGGGTTTTCTTTGAAAAGCAAATTATAAAAGGTGACTAAAATGTTAAGGACACACAAACTTAAATCTACTAGTTTAATTGCAAAATGATTAACAATTTGAACTATAGAACTGAAAATGCCTATAGTATAAAGATTAAATAAATAAAAGTACGAATTACGATAGTTGCCAAGTTATGTAATTGTTTACTAAACCTGATTGATTACTAGTCAGAGATAAAAATTAGTTTCATTTGTGGTTACACGGTTTTCTTTAGAGGAAAATAAACATTGGAATATGAACATGGATAATCTGAGACGTTTGAGATCAATTAGCTTAATATGCCTAATAGCTCAGAAGATAAATATTTTCAGATTCCATAAGCTAATTAGCATTAATTAGCCTAGTAAGGTAGTTGGATATGGTATTTGTAGCAAATCTAGGGGGAAAATTATATTGAAATTTCTCGTAGGGGTAACTATAATTTTCTGGAGTGTATAACTAAAGGCCAAAATATTAGTTTTAAAGTGAACTACTGTTGTTACCCTTAATAATGGTGTTCTCTTATGGCAACTAAAAATGCTATAACATTTACATTGGAAAAAGCCTGACTGGAAGTATCATAATTACTCTGAAGAATTGATTTAACACAGATGTCCATTTTTGTATTGCAATTGTAATACAACAATATTTTTCTCATTTTTTTGGTTGTGATGAGTATTTTTTTTAAATTGTGTACCCTGAATAGGGGTTAAACAAACCAATTAGCACACTAAAAAGTGTCCCCGTCCTCTTAATAGGGGTGTCCGCTTGGTTGACCGTAGTGGTAAAAGATATATATTGCCCTTTCGTTTCACAGAATATAAAGTGTCCCATTATAGGGTTGTACCAAAGGAGGGGTTCTATTGTATATACAAATAAAATAATCTGAATCATCATTAACTCAGTCTTTAGTTCCAGCCCTGAAACCTATGGAAAATCTGGAGGATGTCCAGTGGGGGATATTTTAACTGAACTTTAATGTAGGCCTAGTTAATTTACAAAAGAACTATAATATTCCAGCATTGAAACCTAAACTCGGAAATACTGGGATGGTATTTGGAGCTTAACACGCTGGCTGCCAGCAACGAGTATACTCGCCCACAGGTACTTACTGAGGGCGCCAGGGACGAGTATACTTGTCAAAATTGGCATAACATTCTAGTGTTTATAACTTCTTTGTTATATATTGTAGAACCACAGGTTCAACGGCTGGTAGTTTGGGGAAGATACACCTAGACGATAACATACATATAGCATGTATATTTGTTGTGTTATGTTGCCGGTAGTACATTCGAGCAACACAAGTGGGGGCGCCGTTTAAACATATACTTGTACTTGCATAGTCAATAAAACGTTCTATCACAGTGCCATCGACGAGTATACTCGCCCCCCTAATATTTTCCCGCCAATTTATTAGACACATCATTTTGATGATATATAACTAGATAAAATTTCACAAAAGTATGTTTGTACATGTAAACTTGTTTTGGCACACGGGAAGGAACCTTACAAAAGGTCTGGCAGTCAACGTGTTAATGTATCTGTGATCCACAAGGCACTCAATAAATGAAGTATTTATTATTAATTGCTGTGATTGATATTGCATTTTATTTAGGCTCATGCTCTGGCACATAACCATCAGTTTTACACAGCTGTGATGCAGAGTTTCGTTGCAGATGTGGATAAGGTAAATCTCAGACAATTATATTTTCTTACAGTTGAACACACATACATCTCATATGAGGCATGCTATTCCAAAACCAGCATACTGTTGCTAAATGTTTATCATCATCATAATCAAACATATGACATACGTATAGATCATCATGAACTACCACACAAAAATTTAAAATTTCATTCCAAAATCAGTTAAAATCATTTTTTTAAATTTAATTTTATTTTATTCATTTTTTATTACTACTTACACTGTATGTATGTTTCTTGTCACTGTACCACTTTGAAAATCAGTACTATAGTACTGGAAGTGCCAACAGAATAAAAATAGATTGATTAAATAAATAAATAAAACATCATCATCATGTGCAATCTTCAATACAATCTGCACCACATGCCCCTACTTGTATAAATATATGTGTATATATATACACATATATATACACATATATGTGTATATATATGCTGTCTCTTATACACATCTAGATGTGTATAAGAGACAGTAATAGGATGATATTTGTGTTTTCTACAGCTATGTGTGAACTACCAAGAAAATCTAAATGAATTTCTTGAATATCGGAAGATGCAAGCACTGGCAGATTTCAATGAAAAGTGTAGGTTAAATCCAAGTACACAGTATGGAAAATTAGAAGATGCAATGAAAGATGACATCAACAGTAAAATGCTAGCTTACTATGCAAAAAACAGTTTGATAGAGGTGATTTCAAGTTTTTATTCAACAACATAACTCATATATTCCTGATGATGACATAATTAATGTCAAAATATTGAATCACAACAATTGGCATGCATTTCAGTACTTGGAGTATGTATTATACTTTCTTATCTGAGATTAATCAGTGAACCTTTCGGTTAATATAACCCATCTTTCAACAGAAAATTTCCATGTCTTTATATGTTTATATGATAATTTTGATGAATTATGTACAAAAATTAATGTGTAATTAAGGATTTTTTTTTTTTTAAATTAGTGCTTATACTTTTTCGATAGCAAATAATAACACCTCAACTTTTAATAGCAATTGTTTAGTTGTTTGGTAATTTTAACATATATAGCAATCAATATCATATACAGTATATATTGTAATGCAATAAAATTCAGCCATTCACTGTCAGTTGAAAATTATATACCAAAATATATAAATATAAAAATAAATTGAAAAAACCAACTTCTTAATATAGCTGTTTCAGCTGCCTTGAATTTTGTGGTATATTTTTTGTGTCATGCATATTTTCAAAAAGATCACAACAAATTGAGAACAGTGTTAAAAAATTGCAAACTTATAATATCAAAGGTGTTTATCTACAATTATTCTTGATGTAGTTCAGAGTAGTGTAAATATTTTAACCATCTTCAGTGTTATTGCAATCAAAATTTTTTTTCTAGAATGTCAAGTGGGATTTCTTCCTCTGCCAATGAAAATTTCTCTCGAGTGTCAATAGTAAAATGTTGCAATTCCTTTTTCACATCCTAGGATCACACTTCCCAGGTTGCAATCCGAAAATGGATCACCAACTTCTCCTATTTTTGTTTTTTTCCAAAAATGAAAATGATCGAAACTTCTTATTACGCCATGGTTCTCGAGTCATTCCTAAATCAACATACATTAATGATAAACCATGGTTGACATGAGTTGTGTAAGTTGTTTGTCATCAAATTTTTCAATTTTGTGTGTGTTTCTTTTTTTACTTTTATTGTTCAAAGTGTTATCCAAAGACTGCTTAACAAATGAAGAAAAGGTAATGAGCAGTTCTGTGTTAAATTTTTTAATAGATTGTATAGATAAATAAATGTTTAATCAATTTGATCTTTCATCACAGGCACATGCAAGATCTAACAATTGGAGACATTTTCAAGAAGCAATGAAAAAATTTGAAACTGGAATGAAAGAGGTCAGACTTCTATATTATCAAATTATACCTGAGCATTTATTATTGCTGATTTTACTGAAGGTTGATCTAACAATTACCAATTTTACATACACATAATCTCATCTCTCATGTCAACAAATTTTAGTTGATAGAAGCAATTTTAATCTTTTCATGCCTAAAATGGGCAGCGCTTGTCTAGGGGTAGATGTAGAGGGGAAAAGGAGACTAAACAGGCTTTTAGCTCCCCTCCCCCTTCTTCCTAAAATTTTAACAACATGTCTGTTGTTTTTATACTGAATTAACACCCTAGTTGTCCTTCATTAACAATTTTATTTAGGCCCTAAACCACAACCACACCTTTGTCATGAGGGGGGGGGGGCATTCTCCATGCTGGGGCTGGTGGAGGTGTTACTCAAACCATCTGAAATTGTTGGTAGCCTCATACAGAGAGTCTAGACTATAACAAAAAATTTAACAAATTTAACAAATTATTATTATTATTATTGTTATTATTTATTATTATTATTATTATTATTATTATTATTATTATTATTATTATGTTACTAAACCTACCTTATAACACAAAAGATATTCCCTTTAAGACCAACTTAGCACATATTATTATTATTATTATTATTATTGTTATTATTATTATTATTATTATTATTATTGTTATTAGAGTCAGTGATACATTGTGTAACAAGTATATTCATTAGCACCTGTCTGAGTAGTTTTTGTGAAACCTTGTCAATAGTCTGAACACCTTATAAATTATTTTAAAAAATGAAAAGCATTTATTAGTTGCCAGTTTACTGAAAATAATCAGTTAGGTTGACATAATTATATAGGTGATGTGAAGTATATGTTGAACTTTTTTTCACCATGTATTAGGTATGTTCCTCATATTGGAAGGACACAACACTGAAGAGTAAGTTTATAGAGCAAAAAAGAATAGCTTTGGAATACTTCATCAATTATGGGGAAAGGATTGGCACATCATATTCTGAGTACATACAAGAACTTGAAGAAAACATTACCAAGAAGTACCCAGCTTACAATCTAATAATGGCTCGGGTAAGAGATGAAACATTTTAGATTTTTTAGTAAACGCATAGAATAAAGCTGTATAAAATGTATAGAATAATCATTTTCATTAAGTAGAATAGTAGAAGTGAGTCGAATGGCCGCAACCTACAGCCATTGGCTGTGGTTCGGGTGGTGGAACAAGTCTTTTCGGATGACTATAAACCGTGGGCGCAATGTACACAATTGTTTCGTGTGCACTTTAAAGAACCTAGTACATCTTTCAAGACGAGTAGGGGATTACTCGATGTACTGGTTCATACCCTGCGGTTATGGATCATTAGGTCCTTTGCAGGATGTACCTACGTAAAGTAAGATTTGATAATTTAGTGTTACAATAAAAAAGAAATTGATCACAATCTATTCTACAGTAAAGATTTTAGTAAATATAGAATAAAGCTGTAAAAGAATATATCAAATTTATAGAATATTAATAGCTGTTTCTTAAAGCATAATCATAAGTTTATTGTTTAGTAATAAATTTGATCAAAATCTGTTCTACAATACAGATTTGATAAAATAATAGTTGGTAATTTTTTTTATGATTGTTGTAGAAAAAAGCCTGTATTGATGCATTTCATGCGTACACAAAGGCAATGGATCAGGTAACAAAAGCATATTTTTATCCTCTTTCTATTATCGTCATTATCATTAGTATTTTTATTATTATTATTATTATTGTATCATCATTTCTAATACCATCATTAACATGTACTGTAGTTTGTAAGTTATATCTTGGTAACAAAATGTTAGCCTACTAGATAAATTAAGGACAAAATCAACTACACCCAACATTGTTTAAACATCCAATCATTTTCGCTTTTCATATCTTCACATAAATTTTACAAAAATATGAGCCAGCAGATGACTTGTCTATATGCTGAAAGGCCATTTTGTCTGTGTATATAAAGTGCAATTGTTCAGAACCATAACAATTCTTAAAACATTTGCCATCAAAAGATACAAGTATTTCCAACACACAGTATTTAACATACCAAGTCTTTGCATTTCCATTGAGGAAGTATGTGTATTTTTTTGGAGGTTGAGCATGTGGTAGAAAATTCCAAAATGAAAGAGGTGATGTTTATGCCAAGAAAGTCTACACGTAGGGAACAGTTATTGGTGATCCGCTTCTCGAGCCGATCACCTATTGGAATTGTCATGATGATCATCTTTTTTTTCTTTCTCCCCATTTCTGTTCGCACGATATCTCAAAATTGCTACGAGTTACGCACACGGTCATTTCATCGATCATTTTGGCTTCCCCTGGAATAGTCACGGTAAGGTTTTCAAGGTGACCAGTCTTGCGTGACGTCAGCTACGCACAATTTTGCGTTTTTACATAATCGATCATATCAGCCTAACCAATTGCAATTTTGAAATCGTATTAAGTGAGCATTAACTTCGGGTCAATGTTAAATGTGCTGTACCCTAACTTTACGCGTGTGCTTCGTAACGCGTGCGTACGTATGCGTCAAAATTTCAAAATGCTCGAAATCACTTTTTGACTAAATTAGAGCACGTTACACGCCATTTTGAGCATTTCAATTGTTTTTTATATTTACCACTATGCGTGCGCATTCCTGACTGACGGGGGTCCGAGGTCCCAAACGGGCGGAGTGGGTGTGGTCAGGCATTGCTCAAAATCTCTTGAGAGTGTCCTATGGGGGCTGAAAGATATGACAATTTAGGGGTTTCAAAGGCTTATTTAATTGATTTTGGAGTCCACTAATATGTAGAAAATAAATATACATTTTTTTTCTCCCAACGAACTGTGGTTTTTCTCCCTGACGGGGCCCCTGGCCCCAACCGGCAAAAGCAGGTCCATGGCTGCTTATTTTGCTTGGAAGGAGGGCCCAGTCTCAAGAAGCTACCGGGCCGTTTTAATCCACTTGCATGCAAATTTTAATACAGTATTCTATTGTTACAAGAGGTTACCATATATAATGTCCATTATTAAAGTATATAAAATTATGTTGTCAATCTCATTTTTCTACTGGTGTACAGAAATATACAACTTATCAGAAACCTATTGGGGACTATCGTCGCAACCATGAAGAAGCAAAAAGGAAAGCAGTAGCAGCATATGCTGCCAATACCTTACTTTTTCTGGTTAAACATACCTAAACATTTTACTTTTATAGTTGACAAAAAAATACATGCCAAGTATTAGTGTATGGGGCAGCTGACTCTCAATGAGTTATACTGTAGTAAAATTTTTGCTTAAGCTGCCCCAGAACAAAATTTTTGTTGTACTGCACCTTTTGTAAATGTGTATTGGTCAAATAAATAAATGAAATGGAAATATTATGCAAATATTCAATGGTTCTTAGCGTTGTATGTTTAAATATAAAGATGCATTAAAAATATTCCCAATCAGTTCCCAAAAGCTGAAGTTAGTACTGAAACACTGTACACATTTAATGTAATTGCATAGTTGTAACATTTTTTTTTATAGTTTCAGTAGTTGAAAATAAAATGTTTTCAACTTTGGATTGTGACCAAAATTTAAACACTTCTTCATTAAAACATGACAAAATATTCTGGAAATTGTCATTTTTATCCATTGATCCATTTTCGAGATACAGTATTTAGGTTTGAGACCCAACCCTCAAATGCACACCCGAATTTGGATCATCACTAACACTTCAAAGTTTCATTAAAATATCAGTTGATTGGTTTATGAAATATCTGGTCTGGGACGTTTTCATTTGAATTGTCCTCGTATCTACACCCTACTCCAGATGGTCACCAAAATTTAAACATTTCTTCATCGAAACATGACAAAATAATCTGGGTCATTTTAGATCCATTGATTATTTTTAGAGATAATTATGTCTGGGACCTTAAGACTTTACATGACCCTCAAATACACACCTGAATTTGGATTGTCACAAACACTTAATTTCTTCCTAGTAAGTTGCTTAAACTTTCATGAAAGTTTTATTCAGGTTGATTATTTTTTTTCGAATATCTAATCTAGGATGCTTTCCTTTAAATGGTTCTCATAACCATACCCTGCTCCGGATGGTCACCAAAATTTAATCACCTCATCCTTAGGTCACACCTAACATTCCCTATATCTTCCATTTAAGATCTGTGCAGCAGTTTTTGAGATATTTTGAACACAATATATACTATATGCATGATCTCAAAAATTTAAACGACCCTCAAGTTCACCCCCAAATTGGGATTGTGACCAACACTTGGAATTTCTTTCTTGTAACTTGGTTAAACTTTCACAGAAGTCCTCACATCCACACCCAGCTACTCCAGACCATCACCAAAATTTAATCATTTCTTTAGTGGGTTATAGCTAACCATAACACTCCCTGTAATTTTCAATTATGTATGTGCAGCCCTTTTTGAGATATGTCGTACACAGAAAAAAAACCACACGAAAAACACCAAAACGTCAAACAAAACTCGCACGACTGAATGCATTATTTCCTGGTGGAGAGGATAAACAGAAGAAAAATTTAATGGTTCAAAAATGAAGATGACAGTAGAGCAAAATATTGCATTGAAGTGAATTGTGTTCAATGTAGTAATGCTAACAGAAAATTTTTTTTTCTCTTTTTGAACTTTTTTTCTTTTGTATTTGTTCCAAGAAAAATGCTGAGAAGGAAAATAACGCGGCACATGATGCAGCATTGGAATCATACAGAAACAAAATGCAACATGTGAGTATGAAAGGAAACAAGTCGTTATTCATTTCATTTTAATATTTTTTTAGACTCGTGCCAAGGATAATAGCAAACTTTTTATGTTATGTAGCAATCCTTCTTACAACACACTCAACATGTTTTACATTAAATACTGTAAGTCTCATTATAACGTTTAAATGGGCAGCAGTCGTTTTTGGCTGAGAAAAATTCCTGTGATTGGAGATCTAGCTGGGCTCCAAGCCCTAATTTGGTTACTCAGTGAATTCTGTGAAATATTAATCCTTTTATTGCGCTCAATAAATGCCATACCAAATTTAATTGTCGTATTTTGTAATAAACCTTGACGTATTTTGTAATACCTGAAGTATTTTGTAACAAATCTTGTCATATTTTGGAATAACAGAGCTGTCGTATTTTGTAATCATAGACGTAGATCCCAGGGGATGGGGGATATATCCCCCCAATATTTGACAAGGGGGGGATGGTCCATTGTATCATTCCCCCCCCCCCCAATATTTTGACTATGTATGGGATGAAATTTAGCTTTACACACTTCAAAAGACTGTCACAGAAATAATTTGCACTGTCTTATGCGCTTACAAAGATGAAAATTAGCATAATGTATTAATGTTGATAACAAAATTATTTTATCTGGTACCTATCTAAGCTCTTCTTTCCTTAGATGTTAGATGTGCTTGCAAAGAGAGCCACATTTCACACTGAAGGGTGTGTACGACATCAGTAATGTTATGTCAATTCCAAGAATGTTTAAGGTTATATCGGTTGATGAGGAATTTATTGATTATTCCCATAATAGTAAATTGCATCAATTTATTTTGCAAAAACAAGGTTTCCAGCTTCAGAGGGCACACATCTCCTGTCCGCACAAGGGCACACATTGGCGCTAACACCAGGCGCGTAACAGGGGTCTTGGTCAGAGTGGGTATTTATTTTCCCGGTTAGTAATTTATCATACCCACCCCACCCCACTTCCCATATAGAAAACAATACAACATAGGGCTTATCTTATTTATAATATAGGCCACACGTGTGTTTGAAACTAAATATAAGCATTTTCATCATGGTTTTATTTACTTTATTTACATACTCTTTCACCATCAATACACATTGAGGCCCTTCTTTTAGGTTAAAACGATCTATCTTAAATATGTCTTTCTTGAGTTTGGGACTATTATGTGTTTAAATAACTTAAAAGGATAAACCTAAAAAAGCACGCAAAATATTTTTGTGTTTTTAATTCTAATTTCGTCGGAATTGATGAAAACTCTTTAAAATGTGCAATTTATAGAGGAAATTGGCCTACCATAACAAGAAATGCGCGCAAAGAATTTGAGAATTTTAGGCACTTTCAGAGGATGCATTTGTCAAGGGGTGAGGAAAGATTTTCAAAAGATGGATATTTTCCCCTTGTCCCCCGGTGTTTTTAATTCTAATTTGGTTGGAATTGATCAAAACTCGATAAAATGTGCAATTTTTAGAGGAAATTGGCCAATGTTAACAAGAAATGCGAGGTTTTTAGGCACTTTCAGGGGATGAAAACGGCATTTATAAAAGGGTGGGGAAGATTTTCAAAGATAGATAGCCTATTTTCCCCTTGTCCCCCCAGTGGTTACGCCATCGGGCAGCATAGATCAAAGGAGTTATGAAAGTTTTTGAGGTGGAGAAGGGGTTGCAGGGTGTTGTGAGTCTGGTCATTATATCTTCATTTTTATTCTTGTCTTTATTTTTCTCTTCTCTTTTTCTTTTCTTCTCTTTTCCCCTTCTTTCTCTCCCTCTCCCCTCTTTCTTTTCTCTTATTACCCAGCCC